GGATCCCAGCTAGAACTTGAGCGCGCGCGAAGCGCGCGCGATGGTTCTAGTATATACATACAACGGCGCACCGGGATCGGGGGCCGAGGGCCGGAACCTCGACCGCAAATGTGGGTTCCGGGGCCCGAGCCCGCCTCTGCGAGGCCTACAATCGCCCCCGGGAGCCCTCAGACAGCATTCCCGGCGGCCCCACTCGGTCTCGAGACACTTCCAAGACGCCTTCCAGGGGTTTTTGGCGACGCACGATGCGTTTTAAATTGCCCCGGAGGCCCTCGAGACGCCCCAATAGGCCTTTAAGACGCCGCCCAAGAGCGCCCCGAGAGGGCAAAATCGTTGATTTTCAAATGTTGTTCCATGTTTCTTGCATTCTTGCTGTTTCGCGTTTCCAGCGCTAAAGCACCGCCCAAGAGACTCACAAAACCGCTCCAAGACGACCCAAGAGGGCCCCAAGACGGCCCAAGAGAGCTCCGAGACGGCCGCAGAGCCGCCCTAGACGGCGCAAGAGGGTCCCGAGACGGTCCAGGCCCGCCCCGAAACAGGCCACGATAGGCTAAGACGGTCCCACGAGGGCCCAAGACGGTCCCAAGAGGCCCCGAAGACGCCCGAGATGCCCTCAAGACGGCCGACGAGGACTCCAACGCGCTCGAGGACGGACTCAAGAGGCTCCCCAAGGGGGCCCTGGGAGACGAAATGCATTAAATTTTCTACGGGTTTTGAAGGATTGTGGCGTTCTCGCTTTTCCAGCTTACCAGCGCTCCCTCACGGCCCCAGAGGTCCTTCAGATCGCTCCAAGACGGCCCACGAGGCCCCGAAGAGGGCCCCAAGACGGCCCAGGAGGCTGCCCAGACAACCCAAGTGTGCCCCAAGAGCGCCCCAAGAGGGGGCCCAGAGGAGTGGGATAGCGAACCGATATTTCGAGGTCTCTGGCCCTAGAGCTTCCACGAAGCCCCGTGAGGCCCCCAAGAGGCCCCCAGGAAGCTCCAAGTGGACCCCAAGGTGCCCCCAGGGAAAGCCCAAGAGGCCCCCCAACACACCCCAACAAATCATGTCCTCGGAAAACCTTCGGGGGATATGCTTCATCATGGGCCCGAGAGTCTTCGGAGGCTCCGAAGTACCATCGCGCTACCTGAGAGTTGTCTGGAAAGTTGATTGGGAATATGACTGATCGCCTTCTCGCGGCCATCCGCGGCTCGTTTCGCACAAAGTTGGCCCAAGTGTCCTCTTGAACCGACGACGACGACAAAGATAACGAAACGACAAAGACGAGGAGGAGGAGGAGGAGGAGGAGGAGGACGACGACGACGACGACGGCGCGCCCCTAGAGACGACGACGACATTTCGACGACGACAGCACCTCCCAACAGGCTCCCCGAGACGACCCCAAAACCCATGTTCCCAGAAGGCCTTCTGGGAACCCCATTCATCAGGCATTCGCCCCCTACGCAACCATCTTCCCCGAAAGCCTTCCGGAATGCGGATTGGCACGCATGGACTTCTCACTTCCCATCATGCGTTCAGCGCTATGGGCACTTCTTCATTTCCCGTTCAAGCCATATGTGGTCCACTACTTCAGTGGAGCAGGGAACTCGGCAAGGCCTGTGGCTTGCTAGAACCTGAGCGCGCGCGAAGCGCGCGGTATATATAAATATGTATATATGATCCAGGGCTCCTGCCCCGCTGATGCCTTGGGGCCTCTCGCCTCCCCCGCGCGATGGGACCCCCGGCCTGGTGGGCGTGGCATGGTGCCCCCCCCTTGTGGGCGTGGCGTGGTGGGGGCGCCCCCATCCCTCATTCTGTGTGTGTGTGGGGGTTTGGGGTGGAGCTGCGGTGCCGTCGTCGTCGTCGTTGTCGTCGTCGTCGTCGTGGTTGTCGCCCCCCGCCCTTATCCCATCTTCGGGGGGGGGCGGGGCCCTGGGGCCCATCCCATCTTTGGGGGTGGGCGTGAACCGTCGGCCACTTAGAGAGCCAGCAGTAGTCGCGACAGCTTTCGAACCCGCGTTCTCGCGCTCGAAAGATGGACTCCAGTCCACTCGGTAGGGTCTCGGGCCCTTGGATGAACGCCAGGGTAACAACGAGACAACTATGAGTAGTCGGGTTGGGAGCTGCGAGAAGAGAGACAAAAATTGTATTCTCGGTGCGGTAAATTGTGTAACAGCTTTCCGCTGCGACCGGCGAGACGGCAACGTGTAAGCACTAAGCGCGTCGGCCACTTCAGCCCGCATAGATAATGAGGCCTTCGTCCATGCAACATTCGTTGTGGCGAAGCTGGAGACCAGCACGCCGCTATTTGAAGAGCTTCAAAGGCAGCTGCGGTGACATCCTGTCTGCGCACGAGCCCCCTGGCATTCGGAAGATGGACCCCGAACTAGTCGGTAGGTTCTCGGGCCCTTGGATCATAGCCAAACGAGGCACACACAATCACACACACACGACACACACACACACAACACGACAAGGCAAAACAACACACCACAACACACCACACAACACAACAAACACACACAGACACACACACACACCACACAACACGCCTACATGGGATCATGGGTGAAGAAGCACCTTGGCCGCCTCAATGCAGAATATATGATCCAGAGCGCCACCCCCGTTCGTGCTGATGTCGTCCCCCCCCCCACCCCCCCGCGATAGGTCGCCCCCCAGCGGCACGGCGTGGTGTAGCCTCCCTGAGGGCGTGCGGTGGTGCCCCCCCCCCCCATTTTCACTGGGTGTGGGCTGGTGCTGCGGTGCCGTCGTCGTCGTCGTCGTTGCCGTCGTCGCTGTCGTTGTCGTTGTCGTTGTCGTCATCGTCGTCGTCGGCTTCCGTCGTCGTCGTCGGCGTCTTCGTCGTCCCCCAGTCCCATCTGGGGGGTGGGCGTGGGGCCTTGGCACTCATCCCATCTGACGGGGGGAGGGCCTGGGCCTTGAGCCCCGCATCATCTCTTACATTGTGCATTGAGGCGGCCCAGGTGTTTTGTTCAGCCATGTGCATGTGTGTCGTTTGCCTCTCATCCAGGGGCTCGATTGTGAAATTGTTGCAGACGTTGGGTACGATGATGTGCGGCGTTGCAGCAAGAGTCACACTGTGCAAGTAAGCAACCGCCGTCCCTTGATACACAATTTCAAGCAGCGGGATCATACGGCTTGAGGACATCTTTGGCGCAGCCAATCCTACAGACACGCCTTGGGTTGCGAGGCAAGAGGGGTTGTGGAATATAGATGGAGATATGGGGGGAACGAGAAGGCGGACTGACAACAGGAGCACGATGTGGAGGAGGGGGGGAGGAAGAGGCAGAGGAAAAAGAGGCGGAGGAGGTGAATGAGGAGGGGTCTGAGGAGCGCGAGGGAGGAAGGAGAGGGAGGATGGAGAGGGAGGATGGGGGAGCTAGAGGAATGGGAGGGCGGAGGAGGAGGAGGAGGAGGAGGAGGAGGAGGAGGAGCTGCTGCATGATGATAGAAATGGCGTTAAGGAGGATATGGAGAAGGAGGAGGAGGAGAAGGAGGAGGAGGAGAAGAAGGAGGATGAGGAGGAGGAACGGGGTACTTCAGTGGAGAGGTGCTCCTGGCGACTGTCGAGCGCACCGCGTCTCGGGCTCAGTGCAAAGCCAGTGTGCTGACGCAGGCACCCTCGCGTGTCACAAGAAAGCCTTGCCAGCACGGGACTCGCCCAGCACTCTAAGATGACGCCTGAGCCGAACGAGCACATCATCACTAAACCCTCGACCGCTGTTATTCAAGTCCACACGGGAACTTTTGATTGTGCCGACAGCTGATGCATCGGCGCTAAAGCAGTGTGGGCCCCGCATCGTCGGGCCGCGGACTCATCGCCTCTTTACAATGCTGTCGTTGTATCTGCTGCTGCTCGGTGTCCGCGTCGTCATCTCCGCACTCATCCACAATACCATCATCCTCTCTCCTGCCTCGTTCTCCCCCCCCCCTCTCTCGTTACCCTCCTCTCTCGCCCCTCCTCCTTTGCAGTTGGCCCCGCAGGAGTGGGAAGCGGCGGTGCAGTGCTCACTGTGTAGGCTCTCGGCCGCGTCCCGGGCGGCAGGAGTCGAGATGATCAGAGGAAGGAGGCCGTAGGAGGGAAGGAGAGGGGAAGGAGGGAGGAGTCACAGAAGGACTGAGGGAATCGTGGAAATGAGGGGGGGGGAGGCACATGTGGGGAGAGGCGGACTGGAGAGGAGGGGAAGGGACGGATGGGAAGGAAGGGGAAGGAGGAGCAGCTGACTAAAAAAACGGGGAGGATCTCGCCAGCGATGAGGGCGAATATTGCGAGGCATGGGGAAATGCGGCTGAGACGACTCGCCCATCCAGCGCCGTCGGTTGAACTACATATTCGACTGTCAGCTGCGTGGCTCTTCGTGCGGCGTATGTCCATCACCCAGCCGCTCCCCGTCACCTGTCAGCGAGGAGGAGGAGGTAGAGGGAGGGAGGAGGAGAGATGAGGAGGAGGAGGAGGAGGAGGCGGAGGGAGCAGGAGGGAGGAAGGAGGAACAGGGAGGAGGGTAGGAGAAGGGAGGACGGGAGGATAGTGGAGAAAGAGGGAGGAGCAGGATGATGGCGCGACGACGACGATGAGGAGGATGAGGATGAGGAGGAGGACCAGCGTAAACCCAGTATGTGATGTTATGTCCTCCAGCTTCGCAGCACTTGTGTACAACGTGTGCTTCGAGATGACCCAAATGCTTCTTCATCCATGCGCCCATGCGTGTGTGTATGTGTGTGGGCGTGCACGTGTGTGCGTATATGTAATTTGACGCTCATCCAGGGGGTCGAGATCCTATCCAGTGGGTCGGGGGTTATCTTCCGAGAGCTAGAGGGCTTGCGTGCAGGCAGGTTGTCACCACGGCAGTCTCTGAAGCTCTTGAGGTGGCGGCGTCCTATTCCCCAATTGTGTCGCAGCGAGTGTTGCATGGACAGCGGTTTCACTCTCCGGTTCCCTGCGGCAGATCCCGCCTCTGCGCCAGCGCAGCAGTGCGGCATGAAGGAGGTTGGGTCAAAGGCCAATTACGATGAAGCGCGCGGTGAGAATTCGAGTGGATCCTAAACTCGACCTCGTTTCCTCAATGTGTGGGGAACTCTTGGGGCCCGTTGGGCAGTCTTAGGGCTGCCCTGGGTCATCTGTCGCCTTCGGAGGCCGTGCTGGGAGAGACTCTTGGTTGTTTTGGAACCTTGGAGTCTTCTTGAGGGCCTGTTGGGCCTTCGTGGAAGCTTCTTCGGTTGTCTAGGAGGCGTCTGAAGCCTTCTGGGACGGTCGGATGCCCGAAAAGGCGGGAACGACAAACCATTGAAAAACACGTGGGACATCAATGACTTAGGCTTCCTCGGGCATCCTGGAAGGCCCCTTGGAGCCTCCGTTCGCTGTATCGGGGGGCTGTCTGAGGGGGCTCTCTCGATCTGTCGAATGCCCATGGAGGCCGTCTTGGGGGCCTATCTGGACCGTTCTGGGTCCGTTTCGGGCGCTTTCGGACCGTCATGAAAGTCTCTTGGGCCGTCTGTGGGTCCCCTTGGGGCAGTCTTGAGACTGTCGTGGAAGCCTCCTTGGCCGTCTTGGAGTTTCTTGGGCAGTCCGAACCCCGAATAAGCGGGAACGCGAAAACCGTTGAAACAGATATGGGGCATCAATATGTGTGATGTCTTTTGTTCTCCTGGAGGGCCTCTTGGAGCTCTCTTGGGTTGTATCGGGGGCCTCTTGGGCCGTCTTATGGGGCTCTTGGCCCGTCTGACGCCGTCGGAGTTGGTCCTGGGGCCTTCTTGAGGCAGTCGTCCGTCGTGTGGGGCTCTTGCGCCGTCGTGGAGGCTTCAAGAGCTGCCTTGAGCAGCCGGACGCCCGAATAGGCGGGAACGTGAAAACCATTGAAGCACATACTCGCTTCTTTGGGGCTTCTTGGAGCCCTCTTGGGCTGTATCGGGGGCCTCTTGGAGAGCTTGGGGCCATCCTGACCCGTCTGACGCCTTCGGAGGCAGGTTTGGGGGCCTTTCTAGTTTGTATCGAAGCCACGTTGAGGCGGTTTCGGGCCGTATTGGAGGTCTGTTGGGCAGTCTTGGGGCCCTCTGCCAGTCTTGAAGGCCTCTGGGGCCATCTGGGGCTGTCCGAATCCAGACAAGGCGGGACCGCGAACCAACATTGAACACCTACAGGGAATCAGTGAGTTTGGCTTCTTTGGGCGCGCATGGAGCGACTCTTGGAGCCCTCTTGGGCTGTACCTGGAGCCTCTTGGGCCCCCTCGGGGCAATCTGGGGCTGTCTTCGAGGCATATTGGACCAGTTCGGAGGCATCTTGCGGCCGTCTGGGATACGCTTAATTGCCTTGGCGCCGTCTGGATGCCAAACAGAGCGCCGAAAAGCAACCTCAGAGGGAGCGGATTTCGGACGACGCGTACTGTGAGGCGCGAGGGCTTCCCCAGACAGCAGAGGAGCATTCTAACACGCCCCAGCGTGCACAAGGCACGGTGGCGGATCTATGCGGGTTGAGGTGGCCGACGTATTTAGTGTTTGCACGTTGTCGTCTCGCCATCCGAGTGGGACGGGTCTTGTTTCAAGCAATGCCGTTTTGCGACTGCGTGATGTCTTGTCTTCTCATTGTTCCAAGCCCGATTTTTGTTTAGTTATGTTCTTTGGTGCACTAACTAGCGCTTGTTCAGGGGCCCGATGCCCTACGGAGTGGACCTGAGCCCATCTTTCGAGCGCGAGAGCGCGTGTTCGCACGCTGTCACCACGGCTGTCGCCGTTTCCTTTGCTGCACTTGTTTATCGGAGGTTAGGGGGGCGAGATCGAAGTGGAACGGAGAGCCCCCCACTGGGAAATCGGTTTCGGTTTCGGGTTCGTCTCGTGCGTGCGGGTGAGGCGAAGTTGCATGGGCGGGCGAGAGGAATGACTCCGCTGATGCAAGGGCGGGGCAAGACAACTGTCGGAACCTCCCCCCGGTGGGCGGGCGGTGGCCAGGTTGTCCCGCCGTAGTGTCCCGTCTGTGCCCCGTCGGTGTCCCGTCTGTGTCCCGTTGGTGTCCCGTCGCTGTCCCGTCGCTGTCCCGTCGGTGTTCCGTTGGTATCCCGTCGGTGTCCTGATTGGTGTCCAGTCGGCGTCCCGATTGGTGTCCCTATTGGTGTCTTGGTGGTGTTTCGATGGTGTCTCGATGGTGTCCTGGTGGTGTCCCGATATGTGTCCCGAGCGGTGTTCAGATGGTGTCCTGATGGTGTCCCTGTGGTGTCTGCATGGTGCCCTGGTGGTCTACCGATGGCGCCCTGGTGGTGCTCCGATCGTATAAATGTCGTTTCCAGCATCGCTAATGAGATCGATCGGAGGTTGGGGGGTCAGATCGCAGTGGAACGGAAAGCCCCCCACCAGGAAATCTGTTTCGATGTGTTCGTGACATGCGTGCGTGCGAGGCGAAATTGCGTGGGCTCGCGAGTAGAGTGATCCCGCCATCGCTGGGGCGATTCGGATGCAAAAGTCTGGCTCTCTGGTTAGCGCGCGGTGACTGGGGTTGGTTGTCCCGCCGTCGTGTCCCGCGTTGTCCCGATGGTGTCCCACGGGGTCCCGCCGTGGTGTCCCGATAGTGTCTCGTGGTGTCCAGTGTTGTCACGTGGTGTCCCGAGGTGTCCCAGTGGTGTCTCGAGGTCGGCGTCCCAGTGGTATCCCGCGGTGTCCCGTGGTGTCCCGCGGTGTCCCGCGGTATCCCGCCGTGGTGTCCCGATGGTGTCCCGATCGATAGTGAGATCGATAACGACCGAGATATAGTGAGATCGATAGTTGGATCGATAGTGAGGTCGATAGTGAGATCGGTAGTTGCGTCGATCGTTCCAGCGGCAGTGAGATCGATAGTGAGATCGATAGTTGCATCGGTAGTGCAAACGATAGTGAGGTCGAAGGTGCGATCGACTGCCAGATCCACAGTGAGATCGATAGTGGGATCGATTGTGAGCTCGATTGTGAGATCGATTGAGATCTCCTCACAGGTCGGATGTGACATCGATAGTGAGATCGGTCGAGTGACATCGATCGTAAGATCGACCGTGAGATCGATCGTGAGATCGATCGAGTGAGATAGATAGCGGGGCCGGTAGTGACATCACACCACGGCGCAACATCATTACGATGATTATGACCCTAGCTAGAACTTGATCGCGCGCGAAGGGCGCGCGATGGTTCTAGTGTGTCTCTCTCTCTCTCTCTCTCTCTCTCCCTGTGGGGTAGGCCCGGGGCCCACAAACAGCTGCCCCGACCTCCCATGGGGGGACGGGGCGGCCAGGGAGGTCCAAAATAGTCCAGGAGGGCCTCCAGAAGCTCCCCAGACGGCCCAAGCGGGCCCCGAGTCGCCGAAAGACCGCTCCTGGACGCCCAAGATAAGCCCAAGACGGCCCGAGAACCCCCCCCAAGGCACTCCACGACGCTTCAAGACGCCTTGTCTTGGAGTCCTGTTCTGGGCCTTTTAGGCCGTCTTGGTTTGATTTGGGGGCCTCTTGGGCTGCCATGGGCGCTCTTGACATTGGAAAGGCAAGACTCCAACATTTACGTAGGAACCGTCGTAAATCATTGAGCTTGTCTCTCGAGACCCTCCTGTTTTTTCTCTGAGCTTTCTTGGAATGTTCTCGGGGCGTCTTGGACGCCCTCTTGGGCTATCTGTGTGCCATCTTGGGCCATCATAGCACTCTCGGGGGCGTCTTGGGACCTTCTTGGAAGCCATCTTTGCTTATCTTTGTCGTCTTGGAGACCTCAGGGAGCCATCTTGGGCGGAAGCAGCCTTGTGGATGGCACGTGGGTCAGGCCGGATGCCACCAGATTTTTTTGGAATGGCCACACAGTATTGTAGCATTCCGCGCGCCAAGCAATTTCGGGTGAATCGAGGGGGCGGCCGATCGACGCCTATGACGAACTCCCGCCGCCCTTGCCTGCTGAAAGCGCCTACATGACCAAACGTTGGACCCATGTCTGTCCACGATGCCGGGCTAGATGTTCGCCCAGCCGTTGTGGAACACCCGCAAGGGAACATTCGGGGAAGGGAGAAAGGGAGGAGTAGGAAAGGGAGGAGAAGGTGGACGACGAGGATCACGAGTCCTCTGGGGAGGCTCTGTAGGCCCACGAGGCGATTTCAGAGGCCGTCTTGGGGGCCTGTCTGGACCGTCATGGGGCCTTCTTGGGGCATTGTAGGGCTGTCTTGGAGGCCTATTGTGTATGGAGATTCGTTCCTCCCTGGGGAGGAGTGGTTTATAAAGACAAGGATGGAGGAGGAGGGGCAGGAGATCCCCCCTCGCCCCTCCTGAAAAAGGGGTGCCCGTGAGGCGGTGGCGACCCTGTGGCACTATGGAGGCACCGAAGTTGACAGGCGTGGAGAATGGCTTCGTCTGCAAGGCAGCTGGGTACCAGCAGCGGAGGTGAAGAACGAGCAGCGAGAGAAGGGGAGGGGAGATGAGGAGCGACCAGGCGATAGTGGCGGAGGCTGGTGTGCAGTCGGGATCGACTGGCTCGCTGTCGGTTTGGCGAGCACGGGCCAGGGATGAATGGAGGTATAGGGGTAAGGGGGAGGGAGGGGGTGCCTGCTGTTCCTCCAAGTCCCGCCCCCCCCCCCCTTCCACTCCCCCCTTCTCCTTCCCCCATCACCTCTCCCTCCCTCTCCTCCCTCTCTCCCTCGCCCATGAGCCTACCCCTCCCCCCCCATATTCCCCCCCCTTCCTCATAGCCGCCCCCCCCCCCCCTCCTTCTGGTCCCCCCAGGTGGGGGGCGGGGTGGGGAGGCGGGGGCGAGCCGCGACCATCCGAGGGCCGGGCTCCGCGCCGCGCAGGCAGTCGGCTTCTCCTGCCTGCAGGAGCGCGCGCGTGGAGAGGTCCGAGGGCGGCCAGGTTTCTTTGTTTGTTGTTTCTCTCTCTCTCTCTCTCTCTCTTTATCTCTCTCCTTCTATATCTCTCTCTCTCTTGTTCTCTCTTTCTCTTTGTACTTTTTTTCAGCAGCGTGGGAGCTGGAAACGTTCCATTGTTCGTCGTCAAGCCAGCGGGTGGGACGATAGCCAGGATGTGTCGCAGCAGCGCCGGTGCTCGTCGTAGCGCCATCGGCTGTGAAAAATGATCCGGATTTGTCGTAACGGCGCCAGCTGCGAACAATCGCCAGGATTGGTCCTAACGGCAGCGGTTGCTTGAGATCCGTTGACATTTCAATTCGTTTTGCCAGCAAAGGTACGTGCAGGGTTGGTAAAAGCCTGCAGAGCCTCTCTTTCAGTCTCGCCACATTTTCTAAGAAGATAGGGCAACACGCTCACATCATCTCCGTGCAATGTACCTCACACGGTTTATCTGGCGGGATGGCCATCGCAGAAGGCGACGGCAAAAAAATGCCTCGCGTCTTGGCAGGAGACCGCTCCACTATGTGCAAGCGCCGAGTCCGTCCATGGCAGCGGCTGTTTCCCACGGAGAAGAATGACCGCGGGAACGGAGTCCCAGGCACCAGCGCCAACAGGACGAGATACGATGCCCAAGTTCAAAAATACAGAAGGAGCCTTTTTCCACGGTCGTGCGCCCTTTCCATTCTCTCGTGCGAGACACCCTTGTGCGGAACATGTCCCGGGCGCAGCGTACGGACATTGTTTCAGTTGGCGTAAGAGGCCTTCAATCCGGCAGGCCACACAATAGCCTGACGAAGGACCCACTAATATGCAGCTGCGGGTACCGCATTGTGGTTACAGCTTTAGCTCCCTATGGGGCCACGAAGCGTGTGAGGGATCTGCCGAATTGGGCGCGGTGGTGCCATGCGAACCCTCCCACTGGAACCTTCGGTGGAGCTCCCTATGGGGCCACGACACGTGTGAGGGGCTTGCCGAACTGGGCGCGGTGATGCCATGCGAACCCTGCCACTGGGGCCTTCGGCTGAGCTCCCCATGGGGCCACGAAGCGTGTGAGGAGTGGAGTGCCGAATTGAGTGCGGTGGTGCCGCGCGAACCCTCCCACTGGAACCTTCGGTGGAGCTCTGTATGTGGCCACGAAGCGTACGAGATGTGTGTCGAATTGGGCGCGGTGGTGGCTTGCGAACCCTGCCACTGGCGCCTTCGGCGGAGCTCCCCATGGGACCACGAACCGTGTGAAGAGTGTACCAAATCTGGCGTGGTGATGCCATGCGAACCCTCCCACTGGAGCCTTCGGTGGAGCTTCCTATGGGGCCACGAACCGAATGAGGGGTTTGCCGAGCTGGGTGCGGTGGTGCCATGCGAAACCTCCCACTGGATCTGTCGGTAGAGCTCCCTATCGAGCGAAACCTCCCGCTGGATCCTTCGGTGGAGCTCCCTGCCGGGCCACGAAACGTGTGAGGGGTGTGCCGAATTGGGCGCGGTGGTGGCACGCGAGCCCACCCACTGGAGCTCCCAGTGGAACTCCCCACGGGGCCACGAAACGTGTGAGGGGCTTGCCGAACTGGGCGCGGTGGTGCCATGCGAGCCCTGCCACTGGAGCCTCCGGTGGAACTCCCTACGGGGCCACGACACGGACGCGGTGGTGCCACGCGAACCCTTCCACTGGAGCCTTCGGTGGAGCTTCCTATGGGGCCACGACGCGTGTGAAGGGTGTGCCGAATTCGGTGCGGTGGTGCCACGCGAACCCTCCGAGCGGAGTCTTCGGTGGAGTTTCTATGGGGCCACGAAGCGTGTGAGGGGTGTGCCGAAATTATGGAGGTGCGGAGGGCAGGGGGACGGATGGGAGTAGGGAGAAAAGAGGAACGCGGGGCGGTGTTTCTTCAAAACGAGGGCCCGACACCACAGGACGGTTGGGAAAATGTGGCACGTCTCATATTTGGCTGTTCGAAAACGTTCAGGTTTGGCGGCTGCGCAAAAACATACATATATGGCAATGCGGACTCACCAGAGATAGTGTAGCCCACCAGCGTGTGGCAATGCAGGATTCTAGGATCTCGCCTTTGCTTCTCTGAGAATGGACGAAGGTGAAGCCGCGAATCTCGACCATTCCACAACTTCGCTTCCCAACCCCACCGCGATATATCGTAAGCTGGTTTGTCTGGTTGCGGGTTTAGATAACAAAATGAGTTTGATTCCCAGGTAGCGGAGGATGCGAGGCGGACGCGAATTGGCCAACCGATGAAGGTGTTGACCATGGTGGCGAACAGCGCCGTGGGCGACATGTTTTCAACGGAAGCCAATCGTTCAGCCGCGAAGAGTTTGAAAAGAGGACGCCGAAATCAAGATCAACCCCGCGTGGTACCACGACATGTCACCGACGGCCTGGCCGCGGACATGGCGTTATACCACATCCAACACGACGCAAAAAAATGCGGGGCGCCCGCCGGGAGCGCGGGGAAGGAAAAGTCCAAAGAGGGCGTCGTCAGGCGGCCTACACGAAACAGGCAAGGGGAAGGGCCAAGCCCAAGCCAATAATGCCCCATAGGCCCTGAAGGGCGACCACAAACAAGAACGCGCATTTGTCAGTTGGATGCATCTGGCGCCCGCCGCCGAAGCAACGAAATACGCTAGCGGTATCGCTTGGGGAATGATGCATCGGAACGCGAGTGGATTGCCGCTTCGGAAAGGGCCCTGGACATTGTTTTTCAGCATCGCGATGCTCTCCAGGCCAACTTTCAAGCTTTTATGTTCGGGCGTTTGCGCCGAGTCGCTTTATCGAGCGCCGAGCGCGCCGAGGCCCCCGCTGATCGCGCGCGCGCAACCCTCGCAATTTGCGGCGCAGCCGATGGGGGGCAAGCAGAAAATGGCGGAATACTTGCCTTGGCATTGGAAGGCCGCATGTGAATTCCGCGGAACGCGCATCAGCTGCGTCGCAGCGCATTTCCAAGTGGATTCGCTAGGCGAATCGCGGCGCCACCCGCTTAGTTAACAGGCTGGCGCGATTTGCAGACTGGAGTCAGTGGCGACGGACGCATTGTTCGCGGCGACGCCATGCGCTCTCAGCGCGCTCGGGCACCCGCGCCGGACGGGGGCGCCATCGACAGATCACCCAACGCACGATTGCATTGGCCGGGAAAGCTTTCGACGTAGGCGCGGGCTCGTCCCGGCGCGCCCTCACTGCGGGCGCCCATGCCGACGGCGGCGGACTTGGGACTTCGAGGGGTATGACTTGGGAAGGCGGGATCACGCGCGACAAAATGAGCCACGACGAGCATGGGCGCGCCGCTGACTGCGCGACGCGGACCCGGAGGTCTTGTCGGGGCAATCGTGGGGGCAGCTTTCGTGAGACAGATGCCCCCGCGCGCGCCCGCGCGATATGCGGCCTCATATGTCGCCTGGCGTCTGCGGCTTGGGCGCAGGTTCTCGGCCAGTTTTGAACGGCGGTTGACGCCGCAAGGCGGCGGGTCAGCGGTGCCCCGCGCCGCTGCTGGCTCGTCGGCGCGGTCGAGGGGGCGCTCGCGCGGGCGGCGGCAGCCGCGGATCTCGGTCCCGACGAAGCGCGGGCCCCGTTGAAGGAGCTCGTCGAATACAGTGGCGGCGGAGGAGGGGCGGGCGCAGAGGCGGCCGCGGTCGCCCCGCGGCCCCCCCGAGCAGGCCATGCTGGAGGGCGCCAAGGGCCCGGTCGCGAGCAGACGGCAGATCGGAGCAGCAGAGCGCCCCCCGCCAGGGGCCCGCGCGCTGGAAGGACCCGCAAAGCGCGAAGGCGCCGCGCCGCCGCTGGAGGGGGTCGCGGGGGGCTGGGGGCCCGAGAGCAGACTTGGTGGAGGCCCCGCTTGATCGCGCTGCTCAGCGAGATGGAGACCCCCTCGGCGCGGCCCTGCATGGGCGGCGGGCGGGGTCGCGGGCCGCGCGCGCGCGAGCGGGCGCCGCTATGCGCCGTTGGCTCTAGCGCGCGCGGCACCGCGCGGTGGCCCGAGACGGCCGCGCACTTCGTCGAAGACGTTCGCGCAAGGGCGGCGGAGCCTGGCGGGCCATCGGCGCCCGACCTGGCTTACCGTGCGCTGACCTGGACCAAGCGGGCAGCGGGCTTCGACCTGGGCGCCGGGGCCCCCGCGCGGCCCGAGGCCCACCAGGTCGCCCCGAACGCGCAGGTGCTCAGCAGCGTCGGCAACGGCACAGGGGTGAGGATGGCCCGCTGCGCCGGGGCCCTGGAGCAGCTGGTCGCGGAGCAGGGCGTCGCGAGGTGCCTGCGCGGGTTGGCGCGGCTTCGCTATGTGAAGGCCTTGGCCGCGCTGCGCTGCGACGACCGCGGCTGGCCCCCCATCCCCGGCGTCTCGCCCGCGCGGGCGGAGGCCCGACGGCTGCGCCGCGCTGATGCCGGTCGTGCCCCGCGAGTGCCACGCGCGGGGCCCGGCGCGGATAGCGGCGGGCTTCGCGCTCCGGCGTGAGATCGCGGACTTGGACAGGGATTCTTGCTCGCCGCGGCGCGACGACGCTGGCCAGAGGAACGGGGCGCCCGCCGGGCACGCTCGGGCGCCGGGGGCGGGCCAGGAGGTGCCGCGGAGAACGCGGCGCCAGCCTTGGCAGGAGAAGCCGCGGAGGCCCTCGCCCCAGAGGAGTTCGACACCTCTTTGGACGGAGCACCCAGAGCGAGCGACCCAACCCGCTGCCCTGGCGGCGATGGGTATCTCACAGAGCGACAGGGACTGCCCTGGAAGCTGGTCGCCAGAGGGCGCGGACACCTGCGCGGGCACGTGCCGCGCCGTCTTTTGCATTATCTTGCGGCAGTCGGCAGGGGCGCCGCGCTCTTGCGCGGCCTCGTGGCGCTGGGCGAGGCGGCGAGCTTGTCGGCGGCGAGGGGGAATAAAATCGAGCGTGGGGCGACGGACATGGCGACCCGGGCCTGCGAGGGCCTCCGCCTGGCCCAGGGCCGCAGGGCGGGCGCCAACGGCGCCGCGGCTGGCGCTTCCGCCCGCGGGGTCGACAGCGACAACGGGGGCTGCCGTCGAGGGCGCGCCGGAGAAGCCCCGCCGCGACAGATCGCCGCGCCAGCAGGCGACAGCCTTGACGGCGTCGTGGACGAACTCGAGGCGGAACACAATCGCAACGGCAGAATGTAGAATGAAGGCGGCAAGCGGCAGCCCCATCCTGGAGACGCGGGCCCCAAG